AATGTGGCCCGTCTCTTTTTTACATCTTTTTAAAAAAAAAAAAAAAAAAAAAAAAGGTGGGTCGGGGGGACAAGAATCTTTTCTGGTTTGTCACAGTGAGTTCCACATGGAAGCTTGCCTTTTGCATGAGTGTACCTGTTTGGGGCTGGGGGAACAGTCACTGCCTCGGGGTTCAGGACTCGCCTCCCTCCCTCTGCCCCTCCTCCCTCAGGATGTCCATGAGAAGCCCCGGCTCTGCCCAGCTGGCCCTGGATGACGTTGGCACCATGGTGAACTGTACTGTCAAGTCAGAGGGGAAGAAGGAGCCCTGCCACGAGGCCCCCCAGGGCTTGGCCACTGCAGCTGAACCCCAGCCCGGAGATCCAGCCCGGGCCCCCCAGGATGGTGCTGACCCTCCAGCTCCAGCCCAGGTGCCCAGCACTCTCCTAGGGGCTCCTGGGTCAGTGTCCCCACCCCGCCTCTGTAGCTCCTAGGCCTGTGCCCTTCCCCCTAGTGGGTGGAGCAGGCACCCACCAGCCTAGCTGGGCAGAGGGGCAGGCAGAAGCATTCTCCTCTGGGGCAAGACTTAGGTGGGTGGGTGGGTCAGGCTACCTGTCTGAGCAGGACATAGACTCACTTCTGCCCTCACTCACCTGATATGAACTGCTCACCTATGTGTGACCAGTCCTTACCCTTGAAGACTAGTTGAGAAATAGGACACACACGCTCACAGGCTGGCTTAAAGATAATCTACTAGCTTTTTCATATGATTCGAGAAAAGCAGCCTTATTAACCAAACCAGAGTTAAATTGCTATTAAAGACAATACAGTTCCTTATCCTCAAAATGAAGGAGCTGAACTACATGAGTGGTGAAGATTCTTGCAGCTCTTAAAAATTCCATGATTCCATGCAAGAGATGTAAAAAGGGAATACTTAATCAAATGCCAGATGAGTGAAAATGAGGAGAGTTTTAGGGCTCTGAGGAGGGATCCAGCCAGGAGGAGTATGTGAAAGGGGGCTAAGGGGTAGGGGTGGTGATCTAGGAAGACTTCCTAGATAAGTAGGGCTTTAAGCTGGGTCTTAAAGAATGGAGAGGACTCAGATGAGAAGAGGAGAGAGGGGACAGTGTCTTAAAGAGGGTGGGATGGGGGCCTTGAGAGTAACCTGCGGGGGCTGGAGTCGTAGGTGCATACAAGGGAGTAATAATTAATTGCTGGCTTTTGGCCTCTTAAGTCTGCAGTGGCAAACCTCATTCACATGCATTATCTCCCTTGATCCCAGCAACAATCCTGTGGCAGGGGACGTATTAGTATTTCCATTTTCGGAAGAGGGAGGTCAGGTTCAGAGAAGTTCAGGGACTCGTGTGGGCTCAAGCACATTGTGAATCACTGAGCCCAGGTCTCTTGTCTTTAAACCTTTTGTTCTTTTCACCAAATCTTTCAAGCCAAGTCAGAGCAAAGGTCGGGAAGGTGGGAAGGGAGGGAGGGCCCTACTGGAGGGTGGGGCTGGGTAGATTCTGGAGTTCCCCTAGGATACACATCCCCGGGGCGCTCAGCCCCGCACACTGCAGTCTGCCCCCATTCCCGTGGGGGTGACAGTGACATTCAGTGTGTCTTACAGGATAGCAGCTCCCTGGAAAGCAATGGGTCCCCAGAACCCAAGAGACCAGGAGGCTCCGAGGCTGCTTCTGGAAGCCAGGAGAAGCTGGACTTCAACCGAAATTTAAAAGAAGGTAAGACGTCATCTGCCCTAGTCAGAGACGGGGGCCTGGGTGGGGAGGTGTTAGGACAGTTACTCCTTAGCCCTTTGGTATCTTCCAGTCGTGCCGGCCATCGAGAAGCTGCTGTCCAGTGATTGGAAGGAGAGGTTTCTGGGAAGGAGCTGTGTGGAAACCAAAGATGTCAAAGGTGAAGGCCCATATGGGTGGGCAGGGGACAGATGTCTGAACCCCTTTCCCTTCTCCAGGCCTGGCCCTGCAGTCTAGGCCTGTAGGGCAATTTCTGGGGCTCTTGGTGCCTTCACACCTGGCCTGTGCCACTCTGGCTCCTGCCTGGCCCTAGGGGTCTGCACCATCCCTCACCCGGGACTAGGTGTGGGTGCACTAGGCTTATTCCCATGCGGCAGAGGCTTATTCCCATGCAGCAGAGGCCTGGTGGGAACCAAATCCCCTGGGACCCTTGAGACCTTGGGGATGTCTTAGCCACTTCTCAGATCTCACTATAAAATGAGCCAAATGTTCCCTTTCACTGATGGAAATTAATTCTAGGCCACCAGGACCTCACTAAATGAATTAAAGTGGTGTTGCCTCGGTTCATCAGGGTGATAAGTTTCCCAGTGTGGTTAATCACACTCCCAGAGGAATCTTTTTTTTTTTTTTTTTGCGATATGTGGGCCTCTCACCGTCGTGGCCTCTCCCGTTGCCGGACGCGCAAGCTCAGCGGCCATGGCTCACGGGCCCAGCCGCCCCGCAGCATGTGGGATCCTCCTGGACCGGGGCACGAACCCGTATCCCCTGCATCGGCAGGCGGACTCTCAACCACTGCGCCACCAGGGAGGGAGGCCCCCCAGAGGAATCTTAAAACAATGCAGATCCCCAGGTTCCACCCCCACCTACTGAATGAGAACCCCAGAGGATGGGGGCCTGGGCATCTGTATTTTTCAAAGGCTACCCGAGCAATTCTGATGCAAACGGTCTGCATCCTGGCACTTAGGAGTAACTGCTGCATCTGACGTGAACTGGATTAGAGACAAGGAAGCACTGACATTGCTAGTTGAGGACCATGTGCCAGATCCGGGACTAAGCTTTACATTCAATACCTTTAACCCTCCCAGCAACCCTGTGAAGTGTTGATTATTGTGCTCATTTATAGATTCAAAAAACTAAAGTGCAGAGAAGTTGATAGCTTGCCCAGCAGCTCCCAGGATGGATGAGTTAAAAGAGGAATTTGAACCCAGATCTGTCTTGCTCCAAAGCCTAAGCGTGTCACTCTGGGCCCTCCTGTGGGTTAGTTATCCACCCTGACCCAGTGGCACTGGGCACTTGAGGATATCCCAGAGGTGGGCCAGGGCTGAGATGCCCCACCGTCAGCATTTCCAGGGCCTGGAATCGGTGACTGATGGTGGGGACCTTCTAGGGCAGCTAGTTGTCAGGTGACAAGATGAGGAGGCCTCTCCAGGGCAAGGACTGTATCTCAGTCATCTCTGTGGTCCAGCCCCTGACGGGGGCCTGGGGCAGAGCGATTGCTCTGTCGTATGGATGGACTGGTAACAGATGAACAAACAAAAGTTCTCAATGGTGGTTGCTTCACTGTGGAGCAGGGACCCAGGAGAGCCTGGCAGAGAAGGAGCTCCAGCTGCTGGTCATGATCCACCAGCTGTCCACTCTGCGGGACCAGCTCCTGACGGCCCACTCTGAGCAGAAGAACATGGCCGCTATGCTCTTTGAGAAGCAGCAGCAGCAGATGGAGCTGGCCCGGCAGCAGCAGGAGCAGGTAGGCCCTGCTTGGTGTCTGGCTTTCTTTCCAGGGATGGGGATCTGTCAGGGCCTAGAGAGGAGCATGGTGGGGGCAGGTGGGGAGGGGGCCGTGGGCAGGGGCTGGGCATTCCCACCTCTGGCGGTTCATCATCCCTTGTGAGGGGACAGGGCGTGGAGCGGCGCTGCGGGGCTCAGAGTGAAAGCAGCTGGCTGCGTCCTGCCTAACCTCCATCTCTGGTCTCTGAGGAAGGGGTGAGCTCTCCACAAAAGGAGAATAAATCCTGAGGGTTGGCTGTTCGGCTTCTTGCCCTGTCCAGCTGTCCTCCATGTCCTTGCGCTAGGCATGGGAGGCAGGGTGTGGATGGGGCCACAAAGGCTTGTGGGAGGTGGGATCCTGGGGCCTAAGGTGCATGCTCCCATCACCTACTCTTTCCTTGTGCCAGATCGCTAAGCAGCAGCAACAGCTGATTCAGCAGCAGCATAAGATCAACCTCCTTCAGCAGCAGATCCAGGTAAAAAGAGGGGAGGGCTGGGTGCTGGGATCCAGGTAAAGTGGGGGGAGGGCTGGGCTCTGGGGGAGCAGGGGCTTGAGGGGTTGACACCAGTGTGGAGAGGTACTGGAGACAGGGAAAGGCAGGGAGTGTGGACTAAGCAGAACCACTCAGGCATGACCCTAAGGAGGGGGGCTCATTTCTGCTCTAGCCCCTCCCCTGTTTTTGTCCCCTATTTCAAGGGCAGGGCCCAGAATCTCTTCCTCCCAGCTGGGGCCTGAGGGCAGGAAGACAGAGGCCCACAAAGGGGGCATAGGGTCAGATGGATCCTTTTGAAAACTGTCCCTGCCCCAGGCCTGCGTCTCTCATCCCCAGGTCCACCCTCTGTGTTCAGGGATGACCACAGCTGGGTAGCTGGTTGGGCCCCCCAGGGACTCACACAGGGTTTCTTTGCCCTCAGCAGATCAACATGCCTTACGTCATGATTCCAGCCTTCCCCTCAAGCCACCAACCTCTGCCTGTCACCCCCGACTCCCAGCTGGCTTTGCCCATTCAGCCCATTCCCTGCAAGCCAGGTGAGTGTGGGAGGGGAGGGTTGACCTGAGGTCAGGGAAGGAGCCCAGGAACCACTCTCATCCATTAATGTGCAGTGTGGCCTTTCTGGGCCTCACTTTGGGATCTGTCTAGTCAAAGAATAATCCCTTCTTTCTGAATTTCACTGGGAGAATGAAAAGAAATAGCACATTGAAAACCATAAAGTGCTTTCCAGACATAAGAGGATGCTGCCTATCTAGGTCTAGTCCCCCAGTTCTGGGACATTTCCTGTACCAGAATATTAATGTTTTGAATGTTGACTGAGATTTATCCATCTCCCCAATTCATGCTGGTGCTCTGCCCTGACAGTGGCACTGCTACCTTCTGCCCTGTCACTGAGACTCAGTGACCACAGATAGAGTAGCAACACGCGTCAGTGCTGACTGGTTGTTGGGCAGCCACGAGGGTGATAAAATGTGGACTTTGAGCTCAAGGAATTTACGGTCTGGGGAGGGAGACAGAAGGACACCAACAGCCGGGGAATCTGGGAAGGCTTCTTAAGGAGGTGGTGCTCGCTTGGGTGCTGGGGGAGTAGACTTGTGAGGGTGAAGCTGGGAGCTGAGGGTGGAGGGAAGGGGCCTGGGTCCTGAGGCAGAAAGCCCAAGGGGGTGTTGGAGTTGAGGGGAGCATATGGCAGCTAGTGGGATATGCCTGGGGAGGGCAGTCGGGGCTGAGCATGGACTTTGGGATTTATTTTGTAGAATGTGGGATGCACGGGAACATTTCAGCAGAGGATGTGTTGTCACACTGGCTGTGGGTGGTGGGGAACAGAGGGGTACCAACTGGAGGTAAGATGGGGTAGGGGCTGCTGAGGGGATTCTAGAGATGGGGGATGACAGCCTGGACTAGGGCAGTGACCGTGGGATGGAGGCAGAGATGGAATTATTAGGCTACGATCATTGATTCCTTATGAGAGGTCCTGGGGACAGGGCAGAGATGCTGCCCATAATTGATCCAGGAGGGGAAAGGGTTTTAAGTCAACTCCCTTTGGTCAATGCTCCCTGTTCCATGTGAGAGAGAAGGCAGGGGACATCTAGCTGGGTGAGTTCCTACGGGTCCACCAGCAAGGGCTTTGGGCTGTGGGCTCAGTTCATGGGCCAGCACCACTGACTCCTGGGTGGGGGAAGGGAAAACACAAGGGACTGAGAAAGTCAGGCCCTACTTTGAAGGCAGTTTCTAATTTGGGGTGAAGGAGTGGGGACTGGGAATGGGGAGAGGTGAAGGGGGAGGACAGGTTGCACAAAACCATTGCACCTACAGGTGTCCATAGAGCCGAGCTGCAGGGGTGAGGAGGGCAGGGGCCTAGTTGTGGGGAGGGGGCCACACCCTTGCTGGACAAGGGGGGCAGGGGGCAGGAAATAAGTTGTGGAAGACCTGGACTGGCTGGGCTGCCCCCTGCTTTGTTTGCTCCTGAATCCTAGTAAGCAGGAAGCCTGTGGCTGCCAGATGCGCCACCACCTCCTCCCCCGCTAACCTCCCGCCCCCCGCGTTACCTGGGGCCGCGGCGGGGCTCCACCCCCACCGGGAGGCCGGCGCGTCGCTCCCGCTGCAGCCGGGGGTCCCGGTCCAGCTGCGGCTCCCCCCCGCCCCCCCCGCCCCCCCCCCCCGCCCCCTCTGCTGAGTATGAGTAACACCTCTCCCAGGTCACGAGCCATAGGTGGTGCCCAGGTGCCTATAGCATAGGGTCCAAACTCCTGGGCTCAGCCTTCACAGGTCCCGAGCCCTGCTTGCCCATGGAGTGCCAGCCTCATTTCCCACCTCCCGCTTTCCCACCTGCCCGCCTGCCATGCCCGCTCACGCCTCCCCTCCCCCCAGGAAGCCTGCTCCAGTCACCCCAGCTGAACAGAGTTCTCTGGCATGCCACCCATGCAGCCCATATCACTGCCAGCCATGTGGTCAGTGGTTTGTCTACATGGCTTATCTCTCCACCTCAATTGTCAAGTCAGGGATGCTGGTCCTCCTTGAGGGAGAATGAAGCCAGCTAGGTAGCAGAGAGAGAGTGCATGTAGGGGGGAAAGGTCTAGAGGATGCGGCTGGGTTCAGAGTTCAGATCTCAGATCTCAGATCTCAGTGCTCCCATTCATTAACTATATGGGCACCCATGTAACTTCTCCCAGTCTTCATTATCCATACAATGGGATGATGTATTGAGTACCTATTATATGCCACATACCAGGGATTACGTTGAGATAATGCACATGAGGCCGGCTACAAACCAGGCAGCTGCTTTTGTACCCTGCATGTAGTAGGTACAAAACACAAGTACCCGTAGAAAGAGTAGATGGTGTACCTGATCTCGTTTCACCATCGGGTGGGAACTCTGCGGTCAGTGGGTTGGGAAGGGCAGGAACAGGGTGAAGATGGCTGATCAGTGTGCCGGGCAGTGGGGGACGAGGGCACAGGAGGTCCTCAGCAGTGCTTTGGGGCTGGGAGGGCAGTGGTTGGAAGCAAGCTGGGCCAGCTCCGAGCCTCTGCCCACTCTGTGCTCCCGGGACCTCGTCAAGCAGGGCGTCTGCTGTTCTGTGCTCATCCAGGACTTTTCTCCTTGCCGCCTTTTCCGTAGTGGAGTATCCGCTGCAGCTGCTGCACAGCCCCGCTGCCCCAGTGGTGAAGAGGCCTGGGGCCTTGTCTGCCCACCACGCCCTACAGGTACTGCCCCCACCCACTGGCCTGGGGCTCCCACCCTCACCTGTGGTGGCTGGCTGCCTGCCTAGGGGACCATGGGGTCCTTTGTTCTTGTTCTCCTGCTTCTTCTGTCTTCCTTTCCTGTCTGCTTGTCTCTTCCTCTGTCCCTCTGTCACCCTGTGTCCCCCCAGTCCCTCCGTGGAGGTGTCCTCTGGTGTCTCTAACCGTCTGGGTCTCCCTCAGGAGCCCTCCCAACCCCTAAACCTCACGGCCAAGCCCAAGGCCCCCGAGCTGCCTAATGCCTCCAGCTCCCCGAGCCTGAAGATGAGCAACTGTGGACCCCGTCCTCCCAGCCATGGGGCCCCCACACGGGACCTGCAGGCCAGCCCCCCCAGCCTGCCTTTGGGTAAGTCCCCCCTACACCTTTCCCTTCAGCCCTCTTCTAGGAGAGAGCTAAGAAGGCAGGATATGACCCTGAGCGTGTCCCTTCCCCTCTGTGGGTTACAGTTTTTATAAAACAAGGGGTTAGGCTTGCTCTCTTTGGCCCCTTTTAGTTCCAGCACTCAGTGTCCCGGAAGAAGATCCCCTTCCTGCTCTCCCCACTGTATCTGATTGGGCACCTGAATCAGGGATTCAGGCCATTCTCATTTCCAGTCTACTGTCACCAGGACTCCAGTATAAATGGCGCCCCCTTGGGGATGTGCAGTGCAACAGAGGGGAAGAGGGCGCACCACCCCAGGGTGGCAAGACATGAAATGGGTGTACCTCCCTCAATAGCCCCTCCTTTCCCTTCCTTTCCTTCCCCTGTCCCATAGGCTTCCTTGGTGAAGGGGATGCTGTCACCAAAGCCATCCAGGATGCCAGACAGCTGCTGCACGGTCACAGTGGAGCCTTAGAAAGTCCCCCCAACACCTCCTTTCGTAAGGTGTGGGCTCCCACTACCCTGCACCTGGGTGGGCAGGGGTGGAAGACACAGGGTCTGAGGCTACCAAAGGGAAGAGCAGGGGAGGGGAGCGGGGTGCCGCAGAGGGGGCTGATGTACAAGTTGCCCTGTCTACCTAGGACCTCATTAGCCTGGACACATCCCCAGCCAAGGAGCGGCTGGAGGACAGCTGTGTGCACCCACTGGAAGAAGCCATGCTGGGCTGTGATGTGGACGGTGAGGGCTCTGGGTACTGGGCTGATTGATGGGCAGGAGGGCCCACCTCTGCTTCCCACCAGGGCCAGGGTGGGTCAGGTTGTGTCTGTCTCCAATCCCCTCGGCTGTCTCTGGGCCCCTGCTGGTCTTACTCCTGGCCATCCCTGGCCCTGTGGGCGCCTCCCGGCGCCCTCTGGTGGTCAAGTAGGGGATGTTTTTTTCTGCCAGCCCTGGAGGACTCTTCCTTACCCCACACTGGCTGCCCTGCCTGGCTGACTCCTCCCCTGCTCCCCAGGCTCCCGCCACTTCCCTGAGTCCCGGAACAGCAGCCACATCAAGAGGCCCATGAATGCCTTCATGGTGTGGGCCAAGGATGAGAGGAGAAAGATCCTCCAGGCCTTCCCAGACATGCACAATTCCAGCATCAGCAAGATCCTTGGTAAGGGCCAGTGGGCGGGGTGGGGTCTTGGGGGGCTCTAGGGGCTCCAGGAGCCATAGTCCAGCAGGATCTAGTTGCAGGAGTCAGCTGGGTCTAACTGGGGCTTTCTGGGTGACGGTCCACACCGTGGTAAACTCCAGTGGAACCTGATGGCGCGTGGGAGGCAGGCAGGATGTGGGACAGCTGGGTCCTGGAGTCTGGTACCATTGTAGGGCTCTTCTGATAGCACCTGCACCGAAGAACTCAGGCGGGAGAGAGTGTGTGTGTACATTCTTTAGCTCCCAGACCCCATCTCTCCCTAACTTGTTCCCCTGTTTGCCCAGACCCTTGGAGCTGGCTCTGGCAGGAGACAGGAGAGACTGGTATTCTTGGGCTCTCAGTAGAAAGGTTTTTGAAATTATATGTCCTCTTTGGAGGCCAAGGAGAAATGTGGGGCAGGGCAGGTGGAGCTAGAAGAGGGCAATTGTTTCCAAACCTCAGCTCGTCCAGTTCAGGTCTCTTGTCAACTGAGACACCAGGTATTTTGTCCTCAGCAGGGAGCCTCTGGGGATTGTTGGGGGCCTGGGTGGCTACTCTTTTGTTTTTGCAAAACGTACAGACCAGAGGCCTCCCAGAGTCGCTGTGTAGTTTGGTATGTGGGTGGGTGCTGTGTCTTAAGCTAGCAATTGGATATCCTTGTACATGCCAACCTCATTCATTTGCTCAGTATCTATGGAGCACCCACACTGGGCCAGGCCCTTGCTGTGTATAGGTGCTTGCACATATATCTGGGGACCAAAACCTTCTCGGGGCCTCCAGGATCTGCAGGGGGCTGGGGGTGTCAGCAGAGCCCAGCTGACTGCCTGCCCCTGGGGGCTGGGCCAGGCTCCCGCTGGAAGTCCATGACCAACCAGGAGAAGCAGCCTTACTACGAGGAGCAGGCGAGGCTGAGCCGGCAGCACCTGGAGAAGTACCCTGACTACAAGTACAAGCCACGGCCCAAGCGCACCTGCATCGTGGAGGGCAAGCGGCTGCGGGTGGGCGAGTACAAGGCTCTGATGAGGACCCGGCGCCAGGATGCCCGCCAGAGCTACACGACCCCGTGAGCAGGCCTCCCCAGCGCCTGAGACTGTGTGTGTGTGTGTGTGTGTGTGTGTGTGTGTGTGTGTGTGTGTGTATATGTGTGTGTG